AGGTCCTTGCACTTGCCTAAGCAGGCGCTTAGTCCACTGAGCTATCTCACTGACCTTTGTATCTCTGGTCTTTAGATTTATTTTTACTGCCTTTTCCATAAAGATATAGTTAGTAGAGGGATAAAATACGGGTTTTTTTTTTTTTTCTTTTTTTGAGTGGGGGTGGAGTTATGATCTAAGTGCTAGGATTACAGGTGGGTACCACTATGCCTGGCTAAAATATGAAGTAACTGGGGCCGGGGAGATGGCTCAGTAGAATAAGTGCTTGCCTGACAAGCGCTAGGGCCTGAGTTCAATACCCAGTTCCGCAAAAAAAAAAAAAATGAAGTAACTGATAGATTGAGGGTTGAAATCAGAGGTGAGATTAGTCCTGTGGCTTCTGCTGGCTGCTGGAGGAGATCATAGTGTTAGCTGTCATCTCCTTGGCAGCCAGTGTGATGATGGAAAGATGCAATGAACAGAAAGAGTCGTGAAGGGAAATCCTGTGGTAGGATCAAGTAGGATTAAGAAAATTGGGGCAGGGGAGATAGCTCAGTAGAATAAGTGTTTGCCTGGCAAGCGCAAGGGCCTGAGTTCAATCCCCGGTTCCGCAAAACAGAAACAAAAAGAATTAAACCACACCATGTGTGGCTGTGCAGTAACCCTGTACTAATTAGCCTAATGATTTTCATGGGGCCATTTCATAGAAAGGTTCAATATAAGTATAATTTGGCAGTTTCTACAAAAAGCTACATCATCTGATCAGCTAGGAACCTTCAGCTTTCCTATAGAACAGTATAAAGTTTTTAAAAACTCAGCCTCTTAGGAAAAGAAAAATCTCATACCTCTTATTTTGATTGATAAACACCTATCCTCCTGTCTTTTTGCCTCACCAACCAAGAATATTTTAGTTTGTGTTTTGTGTTATAAAAAACAATAGTTACATTGAATCTGACTTTCAAACTGTTTTACTTTCCTCACTGCTGGAACAAAATATCCAACACCCACAACCGGAGAGGTTTATTTTGGATCACGTTTCAGTCTATAGTTGACTGGTTCCAAGGCAGAGCGGCGAGGCAGATTGGCCTGGCGGAGGAAAAGCTGTTCACGCCCTGGTGGCTGGGGAGCCTAGAAAGTCCAGGAGTAAGTCAGGAAGGGAGCAAAGCCAGACTGCACAGCGAGTCACCTGGAACCCCATGATCCAAGCACCTGCACACACACCAAGTTCAGGACTGTTGTGGATCCAAGCCAGAAAATTGTCCTCTTGTTCTACCAATCTTGGGAGTTTCTGGAATTCTGTCTACTCTTAATTGAGAATCTTTTCTCTAGAACCATTATTATTTAATTTTTATTTATTTATTGGAAATAGAGTCTCACTACACAGTTCAGACTTGTAGTGATCCTCCTGTCTCAGCCTCCCCAGTGCTGGGATTGCAGGTGTGTGCCCCCACCTGGCCGGGGTTCTGGGGCCTGCACAGTATGCGGTACTGGGGATCGAACCTAGGTCCTTGCGCTTGCCAGGCAGGCACCTAGACCACCAAGCTATCTCCCCAGCCTAGTAAACCCTATTCTACAAAAGAAAACAGAGCAGGTTCAAAAATTTCCCCAAGGGCTTCCGGTCCTCTTTTGTGTGTTCATTTGTACTATCATGGCTTGTCTCTCTGATTCAAAACATTTACCTACCTTGGTCGTTGTGACTTGAGAGAGTGAGAAGTCTCATGCCAGATCCAGTATATGATGTGGATAAGGACTTGCTGTATTATTTTTATTTGGCAGAAATTGCCATACACATTTTTGTTTCAGTTGAAGACAGCAGGAAAAGCCACTCAGGAAGGAGAACTTCAGAGCTGCTTCAGAAAGTGGCAGGAATGATGGGACGAGTGTGTTCCAAGGGAGGGTATTGTCAGGGCATTCATATAAGGCAGTTAGTGTAATAACTATTTAAGCATTCAGCCTGTATTCTGTTCACACCTCATAGTCTGGTCTCCACACCTTGCCTGTTAAATGGGACATTCTTTCAGATGTCCCCGATTCTCCATTCTGTAGCCTGAATTCTGATCAGATGCAGGGCTGTGTGCAGAGGCCCAGGAGGCAGAGCTCCCACCAGCCTGCAGCGTGCACCTGCCAGCTTGCCGCGTCCCTTCGCACTTGGCCCGTTGCTGCCAAATCTTTGCTTTTCACTGTTGTTTGTGTTAAAGGCCTGCATTTTTTCTGCATTTCTTTTAGCTCTACAGCTAACTTGCTTTCTGTTTGGGCAGCCACATCTGTGAGCACAAGTAGTCTTTATACCTTGGAAGCCCTGTGAAGGGTCAGAGGGGCATATGTGTGGGGGCTTTTAGAAAATCACACAGCTGTGAAAGGGCCTCTTAATCTCTGTTTAATGGAGATGTTGCAAAAATACGAATGTAATGCCTTCACTTCAAGCTGTTCTTTTTATTAAAAATGTTGGGATAGTTTAAATGTAGTTGGCAGCACTGGCATTTGCCATGTGCCTTTCATCCCTAGTCACACTTTGGACTGTTTTGTGAACCTTATTTTCCTTGGTGCCTTTTTTTTTTTTTTCATTGTAGCATTTGGTACAGGGTCTCACTACACAGCTTGGACTCGCAGTGATCCTCCTGTTTTCAGCCTCCCTAGCACTGGGATTACAGGCACACGCTACCTCGCCCGGACTGGTTCACCAGCTTGGAGCACCCCAGGGACAGGTCCAGCACTCATTCGGGTCTCTGAGTCTGCTAAAGCAGGCGCTTAGGCCGATGAGCTATTTTGCTGGCCTTCCCCTGGGTGCCCTTGAATGATGTCCAACCCCGAGTCAGACTTGAGCTCCAAGAGCTCCGTAAGCTCTCTCAGGTGGAGGCCTGGGCTGACATTGCTATCCGAGTGGGTGACACAGCGAGTAGGCAGTGGTGGGGGAGCCGGCTTAGCTCCCCAGAGAGGCGCCTGCCTCTCTGCTGCACCACCCCTGTTGTGTGCCCCAGATATGCGCAGTTCTGTGCTGCTCTGGTGGACTGTAGTTTACAGCTGGTGAGGCCACTGCTGTCCCCCCATCCCCACCCCTAACTCCACCCCATCCCTGGTTTTTAACCCAGAGCCTGGATTGAAGGATCAAAGATCCCAAGGGCTTCTGGAGCCAATCTTGGAACTGACTGCCTGGGCTTGCTAGAGAAACAGCAGGACCCAGGATCACAGGGTCACCTGCAAAAGGACAGAAGTGAAACAAGATGCAGCACTGACTTCCTGCCTCCCCTCTGGGTGTTGGAGCGAGAATGGGTGTGGCTCAGAACAGGGTTTCTGCTGTTCTAGCTGTAGGGGGCCTGACACTGAGATGCCACCAAGTGACTCAGCCTCTCTGAGTTTGTCTCCAAAAGATGGGAGGGGGTGCATTAAGTGAAGCAGCACTCACTGCGGACCAGGACCAGAGAGGGGCGGGTTGGGAGAAGGATGGGTGCAGAGGAGGGAGGGCTGGAAGAGGAATGACTCTCCTGGGAAGGTGGTGAAAGCTATATCTGTACACCATAGCTAAACTGTGACAGGAAGCAGAGAGGTGTAAATGCCAGGGCGGGGGAAGGGAAGCAGAGAGACTTGGGGGGGGGGCAGAGAGAAGCCAGGGCCACAAATGGAACATCCCTCTTCTGTGTCTTTGCCAGGACTGTGGTGCGGGAAGAACAGGCACCCTGCTGGCGTGGAGCTCAGCCTTCGGGAGGGCCCACGCGTGGGTCACACCCACTGTCCCCACTCACCACGCAGCGTGCCATCCAGGAGGACATGACTCCTGGAGCCGGGCCTTAGTCTTCCCTTCGAGCCTCTTTAATCTGGGTGTTGTGTTCAGTGCCAGCATGGTATCTTCCTCTGCTCTGCTCATAAAGCAATGGATGCCCCAAAGCCAGACCAACACCTGAGGACAGTGTAAGAGGCAAGGCTGCTGCTATGCTACCAAATAATTGTACTAAAACCACAAAGTTTAAAAGAAGACTGTTAGTTTCCATTTTACATTTGGGGTGAGGGAGGGCCCGGGAGTGCAATGTGAGTAGGATTTGTGGCCCAGCGCCCTTTGTCTGTAGGCCGCCCTTTCTCGCCGGGCCCCACCCTGCTCGGGCTGCCACGCCCCAGGCGACTCCTGTAGCTCCCACAGCTCTGGCGCTGCGAGCAGAGACTTGGGCTCCATCTCAGCAGCTCCTCGGCTCCCTGGCACTTGGCAGGTCACTGTTAACAAGGCGCACTGCACGCCTGTAATCCCAGCACTCGGAGGCTGGGGCAGGAGGATCACGAATTCGAATGCAGTCTGGGCAGTTTAGCGAGACAACTACATTCTGAAACTCTGTCTCAAAAACACAACCAAACGAGGAAAGCCTGTGCTACGTGGGAGATGCTGTAGCCCTCTAGCTCGTTTAGCACGAGCGAAGTGACCACTTGCCGGCGGGAAACCCCTTTGCTAGGTCCTTGCCACACACACGTTTGGCGCTGGAGCCCACGGGGCAGGCAGCCTGCGCTGCAGCTAAGACTGGCGCGGGATGAGAGCGCTGGGGCCGTTCTGGGGGCGGTGCGGCTCATGGCTCCGCCCCTAGGCGCGGGTTTAAAAAGAGGCAAACCCGAGCATAGAGCCGCCGCGGAGGCACCGAGGCCCACGGCACGCCATGGCCCTTCTGATGCGGGGCACACGGCTGCTGGGCGGCTTCCTGCTCTGGGTGCTGCTGGCCGCCAGCGTCACACCATTCACCTGGGACCTCCCGGAGCCCCGCAGCCGCACGGGCAAGATCCGTGTGCACCCGCGAGGCAACCTCTGGGCCACCGGTAAGTCCGAAGGGACCCCAGCGAGCTCCTAGCGCTTTCCCAGCCCTCTGGTTGCTCCTATTGCCCGAGCAGGTGGGGGCCCAGCGGCTTATCTGATGTAACAGACCGATTTCCAACCCCACACAGCAGTGATTGTGCCAGGAGCACTCAACACACCGAGGGCAGAGCTGGGGCTGCACGCACCCAGTGCCCCTGCCCTCGGCGAGGGACTGTCCTGTGTTCTCTGTACTCACTGCCTAGGCACCTCCCCTGCCCTTTTCTGACCCTCATCGTGTGGGCAGCACAACTGGCAGTTTCTGCGCCCCAGCCTCTCCTGGTGCCACTGTCCCTCTACTTGCTCAGGAGCTGAGGCCACAGGTTTGCCACCCGACTCCCGTGTCCTGTGGATCAGGGATGAGGATGGAGGTTTCCTGTCTTTCCAGAGCTGAAAAGTGGGAGATGGGGAACTTCCCCACTAGGGTAGGATGCCCATTCTGAATTCCATGTGCTTTGGCACCTTCTTTCTAGGGCACTTCATGGGCAAGAAGAGTCTGAAGCCCCTCAGCCCATCCCCATTGGGGACAGCGCCCCACACCTCCCTGAGGGACCAGCAGCTGCAGCTGAGTCATGATCTGCTCAGGAGCCTTCTGTTGAGGAGAGCCCTGGGCCTGAGCCTCAGCCGCTGGGCACCCCACACCCAGGTGAGCTGGACTGCCCTGTGCCCAGGAGGGGACCAGCCCCAGGGAAGCACTGAAGCTTTGGAAGTGGGGTGCATGGTGTGAGTGCCCTTCCAGGCCATAGAATGAACGTGGATGCCAGAGCACCAGGCTTGCAGGCTAGCTGTGCCCCAGGCCTCGGGAGAGTGCTCCGAAGAGAGGAAGCCCACCACCCTGCAGAACCCTGAGAGATACAGGGCCCAGGTTCCAAAACGCAGCAGCTTATCCTGCTCCAGCTGCCCCCTCTGCTGTGTCCCAGGTGTGCCATTGGCCAGGGCTGGGACCCTGAGGTCTAGAGAGGGGACAAGAATTAGTCAGCAGCTAGTACAGTACATCTCAGAACTTGCTCCTACATCTGTGCTCTGTCCTCATCTGCCTCGGTAGCCGTCAGTGGAGGGCTTGGCACTCTCACATCCGCAGCTCAGTCATTCTTTGTCATGGCACTGCCGTGAGCCGCAGGATGTTGAGAGCACCCGCTGTCTATTATCAGATGCCAGTAGTACCTTCCTTTTCCTCCCCAAAGTCATGAAAAAGTTGCATCTAAGCCAGGCCTGGTAATGTATGCCTATCATTCTAGCCACTCAGGAGACTGAGACAGGAGGACTGCTTAAGCACAAGGCCAGCCTGGGCAACTTAGTGAGATCCTATCTCTAAAAGCAGAAGTGGGACCAGTGAGATAGCTCAGTGGGCTAATACCAGCTTAGGCAAGTGCAGGGATCAGGGATCAGGGTTCGATCCACTGATACCACATGCTGTACCAGCCCCACCCCGGGGTACTGTGAGCCAGGGACGAAGCGGGCATGGTGGTACATGACTGTAATCCCAGCGCTGGGAGACTAGTGATCTGGGAGGATCACTAGAGTCCCCAAGCTGCATTGTGAGACCCTGCACCAAATACATTAAAAATAAATAAACTGGCAAGTGCAGGGTCCTGAGTTCAATCCCTGGTACTGCAAAATAAATAAAATCAAAAGCAACAACAACAAAAAAATGCCTTCACATACCATCAGATGTCACCTGGGGGTAGGGGTTCCAAAGGACTTTCAGTTATAAACCACTGTTTAAAACATAAAACTAGAGCCAAGCCAGCCTGTCTAGCAGGGCTGAATGGCAGCTCTTCCTTTCCCCATTCTGGGTCCTCCCCTGCACCCCTCCTTCCACAGTACTTACTATGTGCATAAAAGTGTGAAAAAGTAGAAGCTGGGCTCTGGCAACAGTGTGCTGCATAACCTAGAGAGAGATTCAGTACTTGTGTGCCTTCAGAATGTCGCAATACCAGCACTCTGGGAGCCTAAGACAGAAAGAGCTCCAGTTTGAGCTCAACCTGATTAACTTAGTTTCTAACAAATCCATCTCAAAGTAAAAACTAAAAGGGCTGGGTTCATAGCTCAATGCAAAGCCATGGGTTCCATTCCCCAGTACCACAAAAAAAAAAAAAAAAGTCACCAGCCAGGCATGGTGGTACATGCCCATGCCAGCCTTTGTGAGGCTGAGACTGGCCCTGGGCTGAGCGCAACGTGCTGGGTTACACAGTAAGACCCTGCCTTCAGAGGAAACCAAAGGAAGAGGGAAATGTCAACACTGTAAGCCTCATCTTCCTTGTCCTTAAAATGGAGTAATTACAGGCCCCTCTCCCAGTTTGTGTTGGGCTGAAGGGTCCTTCAGTTTTCAGGGGCGACACAGTCCGAGTTTCTGGCTGTACCTGCTGACTGCCTGCTTTGTGTCCCTAGCCACAGAGGGGACTGTTGAAAGGAGGGGCCTTCCCCAGAGCAGGCTCACCCTGTGCTGCAGGACACAGGACCTCATGGCAGGCCAGACAGGCTCACCTCTAGGGTCACTGAAGACTGGCTGGAGAATCTTAGGGGCGCCCCAGCCCGTCCATGGATTGGGGCAGAGCGTGGGGAGGGTTGCTAGGAACTGGTTTCCCTGGTCTTCTGACTGTCGCGGCTACCCTGTGACACTGAGCCCGTATTTAGGGGAAACCGCCACCCCTGACGCCTCCGCCCCTTTCAGGAGGAAGGTGCGAGGGAGCCTGCGCCTGCCCCATATTCCTGCAGTGCAGCAGGCTGCTGATGCACCTGCGGCCGAAGTGACGCCGGGAACGGGCGGGCGCCGCTCGGTTGGATCGCGCCCACCTCGGCAGCTGGCTGAATGGGTCCCGAGAGCGGCCCCATTTGGATGCAAACCCCGAGCTCCGTCAGTCAATGATTTCTGGTCGGGTCGCCAGGAATATCGCGAATGCAGACACAAACCAGAGTCCTGCTGTACTTCTTGCTTCCCTGGTGAAGTTGTGAATAAAGCCCTACTCTTTACCGAACGTCTGGTCTCTCCTTCCAGCCCCGGTTGAGGGAGGGCAGGGAACTGTCTTGGGGGGGCGGGTGCCGAGCTCAGTGACAAGAGCAGCCTCAGGCCCTGGCACCAGCCGCCTCTGCGCGACTCCTGCCGTGGCCACGCGTAAAGCAGGTCCTCCACGCTGCCGGCTCGCCTCTGACTTCTTCACTTATCTCAGTTTACCCCCCACCCCCAGATATTAGAGTTTGAGTTTGGGACCTCACACAGAGACAACACTCCACTACTAAGCTATATCCGGCCCTTGCTGAAAATTTCACTTGAGACGAGGGCTCGCTAACTGGCCAAGGCTGGCTTCGAACTTTGATCCTCCTGCTTCAACTTCGCGGCGCGCTGGGCGGGTAGGGCCAAGTCGGATCCAGATGCCGCTATCAGCTTACTACCTTCTCTGTATTAGAGTTGCCAGAGTAAACAAAAAACAAAGCCCATTCAGCTAAATTCGGATTTCAGCTAAACTATTTTTCTGTATAAAAGTTCTAAAGCTATTTTCAGTTTATCTGAAATTTCAGTTTAACCACGTGGATCTGTATTAGTTTTGGCCTCTGGGCACAGACTGCCCTTTCCTGGGCTGCAAATAGTAAAACTGGTGGGAATTTGGGCCTTCCAACCTTGCTAGGGACCCCCTCTGGGTCACCGGGGTTCCCTCACTTTCACGAAAACTTTCCCCGAAGAACCCGGATCCCGCCAGGCTGGCGCCCAACCGGAGGCCCCGCCCCGCCTCGCGAGATCTCTGCTGCGCCCCGCAGGTTTGCAGCCGGAAGTTGGGTACCGGAAACAACAGTTGCTATGGAGCAGGCGGAGGACTGGCTGGTGGAATCCTTGCGCTTGTAAATTGTGCGGGGCCGGGACCCGGAACCGGTTCTGGTCTCACCTGGCCGGCAGGCTGGTGGACCGGCGGGCGGGGTGGGACGGGACGGGCGGTGCATTTGGTCGTGCTGAGGCAGGGGATCGGATGGAGGCTGAGGACTCCAGGCCAGGGCCCTACCCGTGCGCAGGTTTGATAAGGGAATTTATGAAAGATTCACTGCCCAGTGTATAACGAAACTTTGCGTGGTGTGGTGACCCAGTCTGTAGCCTCAGCGCTCTGGGAGGCTGAAGCAGAAGGATCGCACCCTGAGCGACTTAGCGAGACTGTAAAAATAATACTGAAAGGCTGGGGGTGTAGTTCAGTGCGAGGACCAGGCTCCATCACTAGTTCCACCAAAGAAAAAATAAAAATGAAGAAGAACTTGTGGAGGATATTGGTAACTCAAGTGCCTAATTGGTTTATTCTCCTAAACACAGATTATCACTCATTGATTCCACATGCTAGCTTGGGGAAATCTTGGTACCGTACCAGGGACTCCCATAGATGACAGCTGAGGCTCAGAGCTCCTGACTGGCCTGGTCCCAGGCTCACAGAGGAGGGTAAAATGCGAAACAAGACTCGATCCCAGGGGGCCTGCCCCTTAGCTTAGTTCTTTAAGTGGCTGCTTCAACAAAGCAGTCAGGCTCAGGTTGCTGTGGTTCGATCCCCACAACGCAAGCCAGCCAGTCATGCCTTGAAGGCATTCGGAGCAAAAAAAAAAAAAAGACTCGATCCCAGTGTGGACACTACCACAGAGCCCAGCTGCTGTCTCCCGGTTGTCAGCTGTGCAATGCTATGTGCCGTGTATAATTATGTCCCTGTTGCTCAGGTACCAGGATTTCCATGCATTTGACCTTTCAGCAGCCACCCGAGTCCTTGAATGGATTGGTGACAAAGGTAATGTGCCTTGCCTGGCCCTAAAGAGGATGCAGTCCAACTCTCAGGAGGGGTTTGGGGCCTCTGCTTAGAGGGCCGCCTCCCCTTTTGGGGAGGTCTTGGTGGCTTGTTACAGCATGGTCCCCCATCAGCACTTGTGTTCTTTTATGGAGATCCTCCACATCTGGCATGGTGATGTAGCACTCTGGGAAGCTGAGGGAGAATTGCAGATTTGAGCCCAGCGTGGACAGCTAAGCAAGACCTTGGCTTAATATTAAAAACAATAATATTTTGGGATGTAGCAAAGTGCAAAAACTGGATTTGATCTCTCATATTGCAAATAAATAAATAAATTCCTGCTGCTCATTAATAGGGAAGGAGGGCTGGGGAGATGGCTCAGTAGAATAAGCGCCAGCCTGGCAAATGCAAGGGCCTGAGTTTAATCCCTGGTTCTGCCAAAATAATAATAATAATAATAAGGAAGGAGTTTAGCCTTGCTCTGGGGGATGGGCAGCAGTTTATACATGCAACTACAATCTTTATAACATGCATGCTGATTTTTTTTTTTCCCCTAGGAGTCTTTGTTGCTGGCTATGAAAGCAAGAAAAAAAATGAAATTCTTCATCTAATGCTACCTCCTAGGCTTTCTGCAAAGGAAAACCAGGTAACATGAATTAGAAATGTTGAGTAGACGTGTTGGTTTTCACTTATTTAGTAAATATTTTTGGAGTTCTTGTCACTTACCAGATGTTATCCCAGATACTACAAAGAGACAAGGGGTGTCCCCCCATCGCCAGTCTTACAGCTGAGGCGCCTTGGAACAGCTTAGTGCTGTAGACCCCGGGGCTCCTATGGGAAGGGGTCCATATTCCTTTAGCAAAACTAGATGTAGGGAGCAGTTAGGGCACAGCAGGTAGCTGACGCCCTTAGAATGATTTAGCTTAGATCATCTAGGCAGTGGTGGTGAACCTCTTAAAGCTGTCACTGGTAAAATAGCCTACTGTGGCATGCATGTCTTACGCCATACATTCACCACCACTGAGCTAGGGTAAATGCTTAGTGTGTCAGAATTTAGAGAAGACAGCTGAGAACAGAGCCTCAGAGGACGTGTTTAAAGCCCGGATAAGAAGATAAGCCCACAAGAGACAGCAAGAAAGACTGGTCTTTGAAGTAGACATCTCAGACAAGGTCAGAGGTGAAGAGAAGAGAACATGTCAGGGAGAGTTGGTAGCTCTAGCTTCTGTGTTGCTGTAGAAGCATTTGCATATGGGTTGAAGGATTCCTTCTTGCAGCCAAAGACTGGAAAGAAGGAAAAGTGGGAGTAGAGGGAGGGAAGGAAGAGACCAGAGCAGTAGCTAGGCAGGAATACATTTGAGGGAAGGCTGCCCAATCCAGAGGCCTGACCACATCACAGGCTATGGGGAAGTTGCCCCTAAAAGATGAGGGTGACAGGAGGGAAGGAGGCAGGCCCAGGGACAGTGAGTCTTTGTGGGGACAGAGATGAGGAGAGCTCTACTTCCAGACAAGAGCTGAGGTCTGTGGGTCAGTGATGAAGGCCATGCAGGGCAGGGATTAAGAACGTGTGTTCCTGAATTTCACTGCCTCTTCCTTTCCTGGTGTTTGGGGTGCAGAGGCAGGGATAGAACCCAGGTCCTGCGCATGCTGGGCATGGGCTTGACCTCTGAGCCACATACCCCCATCTTCTTCAATTCTTTCAAGAAATAAAGTTTTCTTAGAAGGTGACCACAGTATGGAGCTGAGTTGAAGGTTTGGAGTAGAAATAGGGCCATGTAGAAAGAATAAGTCCAGGAAAGGCTAAGTCCTGGCAGCTGTGACCCCATGTTTGTCAGGGTAACCCAAGGACCACCTGTCCCCATGTCCTCATTGTGCTGCTAACATGGACATTCCTAGGCCCTTCCCAGACCCAGGAGTAGGAACCTCAAAAGACCCAGTCTGTGCTCCCAGAACTGGGAGGAATGTGCGCTGCCACCACCTGGCCATGCAAGGTGTCCTTCTCAGTGCCTTGAAGTCCTCTGCCTATGTACCCAGACTGAGCTGTGAGGAGACATTGCTCCTCTGATTGTCCCTCTTTTCTCTGTGACCACCTCTGGTTCCTCACACAGAGGGGAGGGTTTGGTGGCCGGGAGCGAAGATTGTGCTTACACAGTCCTAGGATCCCATCCACAGCCTGATGCCTGTGTGGCCTCTGAATAGTTGCTGAAGCCCCACATGCCTTAGTTCCATTATTTATAGAATAAGGATAAGGACAGGAGACCTAAGTGACAGGCGGGTGTTGTGAGAATCTACTACTGACCATGGAGCTGCCCAAGGGAGCTCCCTGAGTGGAAGCTGCTCCACTTTGATTGCCAGAGGAGTCCCCGGCTTCTGGGGGACTGAGCAGAGAAGGGTGTCAGTAGTTGGCTGGTAACCCTTGCTGTGTGTGAGGCTGCCCTATCCTGTGCCTCCTGGAAAGGCCTGAGGCAGAAGCTTGTGTGTCATGCAGGCAACTGTGACCCATGAGGGCCCTGGGGACAAGTGGAAAGAAGGGAGCTGTGCATACAGGTGTGAAGCCAGTGCTTCCAGACAGCTGCACATGGCACCGCCGGGAGGAGGCACCATCCACAACTGTGTGACATTCAAGCCTCCTTCCTGGAGCTGCCCGCTGTTCCTTTGGAGAGACGGCTCTTCTCACGGCTTCCCTTGGCATTGTAGGGCTTATTCCCAGAAAGAGATTTCAAAGTGTGCCATGGCGGATTCTCGGACAGAGCTGTCCTGGAGCTAAAGCACTTGCCGGATACCAGGTATGGCCTCTACGTGGCCCACCTCACTCAGGACAGTTCTCCTGCCTCTCTGTCCCCACCCCATCCCTCAGCACAGAATGCATGTGAGTATGTGGACCACACATGCACACACAGGTCTAGAATGTACCAAAAGCATTTCACCACATTTTGATTAGAATAACCAGTGCATCACCAGAACTGCAGTAGGGTTGAATGCAAGCTAGAAGGGAGCACTGTCTCCTGGGGAGCCGATGTTGGGTAGCTGTTGGGTGGTGGGGTGAACCGGCTCACTGAGGAGAAATCAAGTCTCTGAGTAACCATCCTGACATGGTGGTTGTCTTGAGCTGTGGCCATGTCCCTCAAGTAGAACGATGCTTGTCTGTGAAATGTAGGTGGCAGATCTTGATCCTGTAAGTGGGATTTCCTGGGCTGGGGAGGAGAGGTCCTGGGTAAGAACTAAGTTGTTCTGTCCACCTGGAACAGGTTACTGGTGACCAGTGGACTTCCAGGTTGTTACTTGCAAGTGTGGCGGGTTGAAGAGGACAGCGGTGAGTGAACTTCACTTGGTGGGTGGAGGCCCTAACCCAAGCCCAGGGCAGAAGAAGAGTGTAGTTGTCAGCAGAGCTGAGTGGGTGGCACCTCGTACTGCAGGCCCCTTTGGGCAGGGTAAGGGTGGTACTCAGAGATCCCAGGGTAGGAGGGCATGTGGCCCTAGGAGGGAGTGTGGCCAGAGGCCACCTCCACACCAAGAAGCCACTGCTTCCCCAGAACAGGAGAGACGAGGGAAGCCCTGGCAGACAGGCAGCCTCCCCACCTCTTCTCTCACCTCACCTCCCTATACTCCCTTTCACGACTGCTGCGATTTTGAGACAGAGGCTTCACTAAGTTGCTGAATTGCCCAGTTAGACTCAAACTGTGATCGTCCTGCCTAAGCCCCCAGAGTGCTGAGGTTAAAGGTGTGCACCCCAACTCCTACTACTAGAAAGGCAGTTCTTGTGTGCATTTGCTTTAGGGGTCACTGGCCTTGTCGTTTGTTCTGTGCTGTAGTTTGCAGCTGTTCCTGTCACTTGTAGTTGTGGCAATGTAGTTTTCAATAGTTTTATTGTGTCATTACATTTTAAATATCATATAATTCTCTCCCATTTTGAGTATATAGTTCAATGATTTTATTTTAGTACATTTATCAAGTTTTGCAGTCATCTCTATAAATCAGTCTAGGAATAGATCTTTTCATTCTTTCTTTCTTTCTTTCTTTCTTTCTTTCTTTCTTTTTTTTTTTTTTTTTTTTTTTTTGTGGTGCTGGGGATTGAATTCAGGACCCTGCGCTTGCCAGGCAAGTGCTTATTCTACTGAGCTATCTCCCCGGCCCCTAGGAACATTTATTTCTTTTTCTTTTTTTTTATGTACTTAGTTATTATAGGGTCTCACTATGCAGCTCAGATTTGTAGTGATCCTCCTGTTTTCAGCCTCCCCAGTGCTGGGATTACAGGTGCGCGCCACCATGCCTGTTCTCAGTGGCTGGCTCAGTACACCCAGGGGCGGGGCTGGAACCGCAGGTGGTGCCAGGGATCAAATCCCAGTCCTTGCGCTTGCATAAGCAGACCCTTAGTCATCTAAGCTATCTCACTGGCCCAGTCTTGGAACACTTCCATCACCTGTTTATTTTGCTCTCCAGTCCCAAGCAGCCACTAACCTGCTCTCCTAGAACAGTCTGGCCTCAGACATTGCATATCAATGGAACGGGATGTGTGGTCTCTCATCTGCAGCTTCTTTCTGTTAGCATGATGCTTTTGCAATCCATCTGTGTCCTAGCGTGTATCAGTTGCTTGTTTCTTTTTATAATGAATGGTATTCTGTTGCGTGGCAGTAGGACCACATTTTTTCAGTCCATTCTCACGTTTCTAGATCCAGTGTTTGGCCATCATCAGTAATGCTGCAGAGAACATGAATGTCCCAGTCTTTGTATGACCTGTTTTCGTGTCTCTAGAGTGGACACCTTGCAGTGAAATTCCTGTACCGTATGGTAAATTTGTGTTTATTCTTTAGGAAACTTGAAAAATTGTACAAAATGGCTTCACCTACATTCCCACAGCAACATTTGAGGAGTCCCATCTTTCCATGTCCTGTTGCTTTTTAAAAATTCGTATTGCTAAATGTGGTGAAGCACACCTGTGATCCTAGTGCTCCTGAGCCGAGGCAGGAGGATCACTGAGTTTGAGGCCAGCTTGGGCTACCTAGTGAGTTCAAGGCCAGTCTGAGCTACATAGCAAGACCCTGTTTCAAAACAATAAAATAAAACAAAAATTAATATTTTGTGATGCTGGGGATCAAAGTCAGGGCCTCGTGTATGCGAGGCGAGCACTCATACCCAACCCTGTTTTTTGTTTTGTTTTGTTTTGCCTTATTAAAGCCATTCTCTGGTTGTGCCATTATATATCCTTGTGGTTTCCATTTGCTTTTCCCCAATGACTGGTAACATTGAGCATCTTTTCATGTGTTTATCAGTCCACTCATGTACTTGGTGAAATGCCTGTCTAAATCATTCATTGCATATTGGGGTTTTTTTTTTGGTTTCTTTCTCTTTTTTTTCTTTTTTGAGACAGAATCTTGCAGTGCAATTCAGGCTGGTCTTGAACTCACTATGCAGGCCAGACTGGCCTTGAATTCACAGCAGTCCTGCCTCAGATTAAAGAGTGCTGGGATTGTAGGCATGTGCAACCATGTGTACTGAAGTTTTTTCTCATGACTTTTGTGCTCTTGCAAGACTAGACAAAACTATTTTAAGAAAGCAGCGAAATGGCTGGGTGCAGTCCCAGCACTTTGAAGGCTGAGGTAAGAGGATCACTGTGACTTCAAGGCCAGCCTGGGCTGCGTAGTGAGACTTATCGCAAACAAAAAGAAAACCTTTGTCTGATTTTGAAATACTTTCTTTTTTTTTTTTTTTTTTTAATTTTTTTTATTTTTTTATTTTATTTATTTATTTATTTTGTGTGTGTGGCCAGCTCAGCCCACCAGGGGGCGGGGCTGGCTGGCATGTGGTGCTGGGGGATTGAACCGCGGTCCCTGTGCTTTGCTTAGCTTAGCTTGTTCTAAGTAGGTGCTTTAGACCACTGAGCCATCTCACCAGCCCCTGAAATACTTTCTTAACCTTCCGTGAGTTGATCTTGACAGTGAGGCCCATTCTACTTGATGTGACAGTTCCTTCCTCTCACGAGGAAATCTGTGTTCGGTCAGGACTACAGGTGTGCTAGGAATTCAAGATGGCAGCACCATTGTAAAAAAATACAATGCTAAGCTAAGCTTCCCCTAGTTGTATTTGCATTATATAGTAATAATTAATCCACCTGTAGGCAGTTCAGAAATGCTCAGCATGCTTTTGTGCCAGAGCAAGGACAGTGGAACAGTGTACCTGAGGCGAGGCCTGAACAAAGCAGATGGTGCTAGGTTCTCCTTTACGAAGTGAGCTCCCCGCTTTTCTGTCCATCCTGAGGATGCGCTCACAGCAGCATCTCTCTTGTCGATGTTATTCTACTCTACAGGGAGAAGTGAAGTCATCTTTCCCATCTTGGTGGTCTTGGTGGTACTTCACGTGGCATCTTCCACACTCATGGGCCCACAGCAGCGGGAGGTGACAGTGTAGGAGGAAGCTTGGGCCTCCAGGACTTGGGACAGGAACTCCTGAGCTGCTCTGCTGGCGCCGCCCCTGCACCTTTCCCGCCTCCACCTTCACTTGCGCAGTGCCAGGACTGTTCTAGGGCTTGGGCTGCAGCTCCCTGCACCTCCCCTTGGGTTGCAGGTGGAACGTGAAACAGTTGATCAGTGTCTGATTCCACAGACGGACTGGACTGTTCCTCAACTTGTTCCTTGTTACAGAACAGAATTCTTCTGCTGCTCACCCCTGTTTCTCCCAACGCTTTCTTTTGCTATTTTCCCTGTTGGTAGAAAAAGCCCTCTTGCTGCTTAGGACTTGGAAGCTTACAAGCCGTCTTGTCAGCATGCCCCAAAGTAGCAGCAGCACTAGTAGAACCCAAAAGGTCCAAAAGTTTAGTGTGCGGTTGTGTATAACAGATTCTCTCCACTGGCCACCTGCACCTGAAGCTCCTTTTCCTGCCAGTTGCACTTGCGTTTTATTCATTCATTCAGTCCCACTACCGCCTGGTGGAATTTCTTTCTCTTGATTCAATTCTAGTTGACGCATTTTTTTTTTTTTACATGCTTTCACTATGTAATCCAGACCAGCCTTGAACTTGCTGTATTCAAGGCTGGCTTCAAGCTCATGTAAACCTCCTGCCTCAGCCTCCTGAATGCTAGGAGTACAGGCATAGGCCACCACATCTGGCCCAGTTGTAACTTTTATTTTTCTTTCTTCTTCAAATCTTCTGTATTAGCTTTCAATTTTTAAATCTTTGAGATTTATTATTTCTGCAAATTTGTGAACAGCCTATGTTCTGTTTTGATGTTCTTTTTTTTTAATGTTCTTTTCAAAAGCAGCCTTAAGATTATTGATCGCTCTTTACTTTTTTTTTTTTTTTTTTGAGACAGTGTCTTGTTATGTAGTGCAGCTGATCTTGAATTGGCTTATGTAGCCTGGGCTGGCTGTGAACTCACAGTGATCCTCCTGCCTCAGCCTCCCAAGTGATGGGATTACAGGCACGTACTACTATACCTGACCTTCCTCCTTCAATATATTTTTTCCTGCCTTGTTTTATTGGTTAGCTCATTTTCTTCTCTTAGCGATTCAGTTTCTTTGGTTAGTATACTGGTTTTGTTCTTCCGACTAACAGTGTGCGTTTCATCTGAAATCTCATCTGAAGCAGCTCTCCTGGTTCCTTGGGTCAGCTCAAAGCCCTTTTTCCAGAAGTCCTTGTGCCAACTGCTGAGACTCAGCTTTTGTTTCTGTAACACCCACCCAAGCAGAAAGAGGCTTTTTTTCTTTTTGAAGTTCCTGTATCTTCTTTAAGTGTTCTGCTTTTTTCTTCAGCTTCTTTAAATTTCTTTTTCCTGGATTTTTAAAAATCTTCTATTTACTTGGTGCAGGGTCTCCCTACGCAGTTTGGACTCATAGTGATTCTCCTGTCTCAGCCTCCCCAGCGCTAGGATCACAGGTGTGCACCACCATACCCGGTTTCGGTGGCCAGCTAGCAGCGCCACATGGGGTGCCGGGGATCAAACCTGGGTCATTGGGTTTGCCAGGCAGGCACCCAGACTGCCGCACTATTTTCCCAGGCCCCATCTTTTTCTGGATTTTATCGTTTTGAGAAATATTGTTAAGTTTCGAGCTGCTCCTATGGCTCCTGTATGTGTTTTTCTTTCTTCTGTATTGTTTTGTAAACTGAGCTAATTCAAATTCTAATAATCTCTTGGCTTCTGATAAAGTATTTCCTGTTTCTTCTGCTTTTCTAAGCCTTTTCAATTAATTGTCTGCCTCAAATGCTTCAGTATGTTCAATACATTTTGTAACCACAGTCACTTATTTGATTCCTGCTCCAACTACAGGGCTGAATTGATTTTTCTCTTTTGGTACCAAGACTCAAACTCAGAGCCTTGTGCTTGCACCACTGAGCTACCTCCCCAGCCCTGTTTGTTTTTTGAGGCAAGGTCTCACTCTGTAATTTGGGCTGGACTTAAACTCACTGTGTAACCCAGGCTGCCCTCAAATGCATGAGAACCCTCCTGTCTCAGCCTCCTGGGCGCTGGGATTACAGCACTGGATCTACCTCTTAACCTCAGATTATCCATTCTTTTTTCTTTTCTTTTTTTAAAATCTATTTAGTACAGAATCTACAAGGTCTACAGGGTCTCACTACATAGATCAGACTCATAGCGATCCTCCTGTTTTCAGCCTCCCAAGCACTGGGATTACAGGCACATGCTACCATGCCCAATCTCAATCACTGTCTCTGGTGTGCCCCAGGGCAGGGCCGGCATGGCAGCTGGGATTGAGCCTGGCCGCTGCACTCTGCCTAAGCAGGCACTTTAGTCTGCTATTGTTTTTTCTTTCAAATACTCCAGCTTCTGTGAGACTGTTTGAGATCTGCGTCTGACGCAGAGCACTGCTACCCAGCTGAGCAACTCTTTCCAGCCCCTCTCTCTTCAGCTTCTTGTCCATCTCCCACATCGCAACCAGCTCTGCCCCTTCCTTAGGTTAATCCTCATCAGTTAAATGAACTGTGTTTACTTTGTGTTTACTCATGTCTTGTTCTAACCTTTTTTGTAATTGAAATGTAGCTCTGGCTTATACTTTTCCAGCCTGTGTGGTGGTGCACATCTCTAACCCCAGCACTTTGGAGGCTGAGGCAGGACGATTGCTGTGAGCTCAGACCAACTGCAAAAAAAATTTAAAAAATAAAAAAAAAGACCAACTGCAAGCTGTGCCAGGAGCTTAAGGGTAAGACAGAGCTCAGGATTCTGAGAAACGGGAGATCCCCAAACACAGCTCACGTCTGTACAAGAGGAGGTGAGGCCGGGGCTGGTGGTACACGCCTGTAACCCCAGCACTAGGAGGCCGAGGTGGGAGGATCCCTGAGTTCAAGACCAGCCTACACTACATAGCAAGACCCTCTCTCAAAAAAACAAAATGGAACAAAAACAGTAAGAAAAACAATAACCAAAGAAGTGAAGCATCTCAAACATGATCTTGAAAGAGCAGAAGGAAAAATAAAGGAGTTGTTTTGGTTTTTTTTTTGGTGGAACCGGGGATTGAACTCAGGCCTTTGCACTTGTCAGGGAAGCACTTATTCCACTGAGCCATCTCCCTGCCCCCCACCCCCAAATAAAGGAGTTTTGAGCCATTCTTAATCATTCAGGAAAGGTTAACAATTATTTATTTATATATTTTATTATGAGATAGGATCTCACTATGTGAGATGTTGGAGATGCTTCACTTCTTTGGTTATTGTTTTTCTTACTGTTTTTGTTCCATTTTGTTTTTTTGAGAGAGGGTCTTGCTATGTAGTGTAGGCTGGTCTTGAACTCAGGGATCCTCCCACCTCGGCCTCCTAGTGCTGGGGTTACAGGCGTGTACCACCAGCCCCGGCCTCACCTCCTCTTGTACGGACGTGAGCTGTGTTTGGGGATCTCCCGTGTCTCAGAATCCTGAGCTCTGTCTTACCCTTAAGCTCCTGGCACAGCTTGCAGTTGGTAGGAATCTCTGTTACGTCTGTTTGACTGTAAGTTCTCTGAAATTCTCTCTCTCCTGCAGCTCTGAGGACTCGAGTTAATTGATTTGCTCTTTCCTCTGTGCCGCTTCCTAACCTCACAGCTGTGTCTGATCCTGCCCTACATCACTCATTGGCTTCTTCCACCAGCGTCTGTCATTGCGCCAGCTTCTCCTTAGCTGGCTGTGAATTCCGGCTGACTTTTCACCTCCCATCTGATCCTGCACCATGCAGGCTTCATGTTCAGCATTTCTCCTCTTCTCCCTGCTCAGCTCTTCCGTGGAACTCATCAGTCCCATGTGCCATGTTACCCTTCTCAAGTCGAGACACCACAAATTCTAGGTTTCTTTTCTTCGTCTAATTTTATTTTTTTTTCAAAATTTTATTGATAA